ATTAGTTGTGTCATCTCATTTAAAGGAAGATCTCGCCTCCAGTTTGGGGTTTGGGTGTTTCTAGTGACTATGTCAAGGGAATACACACTCAGACTCTGTCTCAAAGAATCTCCTAGAAACAACCAAAAATACCCTCTAGTCCCACCCTGACTGATCCTCCTCACCACTGCACCAAACAAGAGACACTCACTCTGACTGGCTCACCTTCATCATCAGCACCACGGTGTTCAGCGCTATCATGGCCATGATGGTGTACTCAAAGGATGGGGAGACCACAAAGTGCCAGACACGGTACTGGAAGGTGTGTCGGTTCTGGGGCATGTACCGCGTGAGGGGCTTGGCACTGATGGCAAAGTCAATACAGGCCCTCTGGAATAAAACAACATGCATCAGACCGTGAGCCAGTGGAAAGGTGGGGAATGGTGGCTGCCACACTTATTTCCTTCATGATTTGAGAAGGCAGATGGCTCACAGATTTCCTATACCTTTTCAACATCTAAGGAGCTCCAAGCTCCCAAACTGCAGAAAACCCATGGAAACATCCTCTTTCCCCCTCCCCAGACTATACCTCATTCTTTTCCAGACTGCACTCTTCCATCATTTTGTCTCCTTGCTCTTGGAATGTAATGATGATGAGAGCCACAAAAATGTTGACAAAGAAGAAAGGGAAGACCACAAAATAGACAACATAAAAAATGGACATCTCCATGCGGTTGCTGCGGCTGGGCCCACGGTCCTCCTCTGTCACATCCACGGAATGCTGCAGCACCCTGTGGGCAGACAGGTAAAGAAAAGCAACCAGAGGCATGCCCATCAGGACTGCCACCACATGGCACTTCCAGAGGGACCCACTCTGTACAGCCAGCTCTGTCCATGCTTATAAAATGATAAGGCAAATCTCTATACTAATCTGCTCTCAAGGACAACCCTTCTAAGTGGTTACAGCTTGTTTTATGGTGCTTTGCCTGTTCCACTGATGAAAAATGGATTTTCCTGTGCTCTACACACAGAGAAAAATATTGCCCAAGCTCACATGAGCATGTAGAGAGGTCTAGTCCTATGGTTATCTCTAATATTGACCTGAAATATATCTGAGGGTCACACAGGAGAAAGGTTTATCCATCATTCACTCCCTAAGGAAGAAGCTAAACCCCGCCACAGCTCCAGCTTTATAGGTGGGTTAAAAGTTTTTTGGTCCTCATATAATTCATCATTCCTTCCTTCCTTCCTGCCCATCAGTTCCTCTCCCAGTCCCACCTGGGTGTAACTCAACCACCCCAACAGGGATGTGATCACCCCCCATTCAAGGGGGCAAATGGAGCAGAATACTCACTGGGGCCAACCCTCGCCAGTAGAGACTGTGAACAGGGTGAGCAAAGCCCAAATGATATTGTCATAGTGAAACTCATGGCGTTTCCATTCCCGGCACTTCACTTCCATCTTGTTCTTCTCATGGTCCACATAGTTCCCTCTGCAAGGTTGGGAGAGAGCAATGAGCTTGTTTTTACCACTGCCAGACTATGGGACAGTAGGTTTAAACCCTGGGGGCAGTGTGTGTGGGCAGTGAGGGCATCTCCTTCTGCAGAGATGGAGGGAGAAATGGGGAGAAGCTTGATAACAAATGGGGGGACGCAGAGAAGAGGAAAGCAAAACTGAAGAGAGAAGGAGGAAAGAATAGGAGCAAAATAAGGGTCTCTGCATCCTGTGGAAGGATGCACAGTGCTGACACAGCAATGAGAATAGGGCTCAGCCCATGCCGTCCACCCCAAGAAATACAGCCAAAAGTGAGTCATGACCAAGGACTTAACTGGAAACCACAGCAGACATTACCCAGCACCCTGCCCTTGCCAGAGGTGTCAGCAGTATCAGACCTACTCAACAGGGCACCTACATGCAGTCCTTCTGCGTGTCCTTAGAGCTGTCAGTGCAGTAGAAAAACTTCCCCTTGAAGAGCTGGACGGCAATGACAGCAAAGATGAACATGAAGAGCTTGTAGACAATCAGGATGTTGAAGACATTCTTGAGGGATGTTACGACACAGTCGAAGACAGCCTGCAGGAGAGGAAAGAGCTCACCAAGGGGAGCACACAGTCCTGGCAAAGGGCAGGATCAAAACCAGGCTGCCATGTGGGAAAGCATTTCCCACTCCCAGTGGGGAAAAAAGGAAAGAGCTGAGCCTTCTCCCAGGCAAAAAGCTGTTTTATGAACGAGGTTAACACCCAGAGTACCCACAGGACACATGTAGGCACCAGGCAGCCCCTGAGACAGCACCCAGGATAGTTATTTGTATCCTCAGTGTTCTCTGCAACCAGGGTAGCGGACAGGGAACCATGCTAATGATGCAATTAGCAGCACTCAAGACCAATTAGTAAACACTTCATTGTTTTGCATCACCCCAGATAACAAAGCAAAGCAAATACTTCTGCCTGCAACAGCAGTACCTCTCTTAGTGCGCTCAGTTCTAGTTCTCATAGCACTTTAAGTGAGGAATGTCCTTATCCCTGTTTCATGGTGGAGACAGGCATTTCCAGGACTGAACTGGCATACTCAAACCCCATGTTTCTGGGCTGCCACCCTGCATCTCAGCCATCAATGAAATAATCACTTGTAAGTAAAAAGCAAGGCTTTTAAGGTTTCATAGTCCTTTCTGGCTCTATACCCCATCACCTAAGGCAGGGAAATCCACAATCCTACCTATGCTGCAGAAATAATCTCACTATTGGCATGGGAAATTCCCTTCCAGTGGAACACCATGACAGCACAGCACACATAACCCCAAGCTGTTTGCAAGCTGCTCTGGTGGGAAAGATCAGGAACTTTGTAAAATGATTTGAGCTCTCCCAGAGCTAGGGCAGACTATTTTTCAGGAGAGCATCTGGGCTTTGCTGCCTTGTGTCCACTCAAGCCCCACTTCCCCTGGCAGAAGAACTAGGTCTGACACCTTGCAGAGGTCCAGTCTTGCTTTTAATAACTCACTGCACCTCCAGATGTGAAGTAGCCTGAAGGGTGTTGTGTTTGCAAACAGGACTCGTAAATCCAAAAGCTTGAAAACAACTCATTCATTGCTCACAACCAAATCAATGCATCATGATACCTGCACACACCAGTCCATGCAGGAGAAGACAGGTACAAGGCAGGAGATGAGGTTCATTACCTTCAGCTTGGGCAGTCGCTTGATGGTTTTCAGGGGTCTCAAGACCCGAAGCACACGGAGAGACTTGATAGTCTTGATATCCCGGCCCTTGTTGGTCCTACCACACGCACCCAAAAATGGAAGAGAGAGACAATAACCTTGTAGACCTGGATGCTCTGAGGGTTTCAGCTGCTGACAACACCCCCCCCAGCACGTGTGAAGACGGGAACAGGAGGGGCACAAACGTGCGACTGCTGAGCGCTCAGCCCACCTAAATGCATCTCCTCCAACACACAGGCTGACAGCTGGCAGAGATGAAAAATGAAGCAATCCTCTCCTCCTCGGGATTAGCACCTTCCCCTTTGTTGGGGAGCAGTGACCTTAACAAACCCCTCGTTGTGGGAAGCAGCATGATGCCAGGGCTAGGGCAGGCAATGCCAGGAGGTTTGCAGGGCAAAGGCAGCTCAAGGGGGTTTGCTTCCCTACTGCAGGCACATGTCATTTGTAGATGGAGCTTGCACAAGGCTCCCACAGTGCAAATTGTTTTCTACCGTTACTACTAGTTGCAAAAAAACACATAATAAAATGAGGTAGATGCACTCAATTGGGTCTACATTGCCAGAGAAGTTGTGGATGCCCCATCACTTGAAGTATTCTAGGCAAAGTTGGATGGGGCCCTTAACAACCTGGTTTAATGGAAGGTGTCACACACACACCAGACAGGAGGGGTGACCCTTGGAAGGGTCTCTAAGGTCTTTCCAGATCAGGGCTGCACTTGCCTCCACCCCAAGTCAGCTGAAGGAGGCAGAGCTTATGAGTAGAATTATTTAGTAAAGCCAACAGTGACTCTCATTTCTTGAATATGATGATTACCCCCAATCCCAACACCATTTCTTTTTCCTTGTCTTTTAACTAAAGCCCATGGTCTGGATCTCAGGATTGAGTAGAGAGGTCCTGGTGAAGATGGCACAGCTTGGATCCACCAAGCACCCTTAAAAAATGTCAAGGAAATGACTTGCAACAACAGATGCTCCCAATTACACAGCTTCTTTGGGAGGGTTAATGCAACAGGGAGCACAATAATGGGTTTAATCATTAAGAGATGTAAACAAAACCACTAATTAATAGTCCTCCCTCAGAGCACAGCCCCACACATGCATGGGAAGCAACTGTGCAAACAGCCCTGGGACTCACTTTGTACCTCTTGACTCCTGTTTTGCTCAGTGTCAGGGCCTGGGCATCTGACTTGGGGCTGGGGCCAGGATTTGAGGGCAGCACTCAGCGGGTGTAAGCTGCCACCAAGGACAACTCAACTACAGTGGTTAACACCTACTGAGGGGGATCTGTTGAGACCACAGGGTGCCTGCAGAGCAATGTCCTGCAGTCTCTGCAAATGCACCTAGGTGTCAGTGCAGGTGTCAGACTGACCAACATCCACCTGCCCCATCCTGTCTGTGCTCCCAAGAGCAGCATTCCACAATATCCCGACCGCCATAGTTACCCCAAAGCATTCCTGTCGGTGATCCAGCCCAGCAGCCACCAAACAGCACCAGCAGAGAGAGGGAAAAAAAGAGAGGAAGAAGGTAAGAAAAGCATCGAGGAAGTTGCACAGGGACGACTGCAGCCTCTCAGGTATGGGGGCCCTGCGGCAGCTCTCTACCACCCCACACCTAGGCTGAAAGGCACAATGAGTAGACCGTGTTGTATCCTTCAGGATGGGGCATATCTCCTGGGACGAACTCATCCACTGAGCCAGGAGCCTCTGCCCTCCCTGCTGGAGGCTTTGGATGGGAGGAACATAGTGAGAGCTCTGCTGCAAGAGGAACCTGCAGAGAGCAGGACAGTGGGCAACAGCAGACAGGCACATGGTCCTTAGCCAAGAGCTGGGGAGGGACTTCGAGGCTCAGACCCAGCCAGCCAAAAGCAGGTGCCTCTGAGGGAACCTACCTGCAAAGCCACATTAGTTCCCATCTAAGTTCTGCTAAATCACCTCTGTCAAGAAATCCACTGATTAAGAGCCTGAGCTGCAGCATGGGATCTCCTGCAACCCAGTAGGACACTGACCTGGACAAGCCAAGGTGAGCTACAAGGTTCCTAGTTGTAACCAAACCTCTGTCCCCGTTTGAGCTGAGTCCCTGCCACATGCACCCAGAGTGCTCAGTGCTGTGGGTAAAGTCTACAAGTAAAGCATTTATTAAAACACATAAAACTAACCCCAGCCCCTGGCTGCATGCTAGTCCAACAGGTGGAAGGTGTGTTGAAAGGGTGATAATTTAACTTTGCAGCACTTCTGTGGTGGGATATCAGACCTCTGTCCTGACCAGCCTCACACCAGGTTATTTTGCAGTATGTAGGGGTCCCTGTTGTTTCCAAATACTGGTGCCAATGGGCACAAGGAGATGCTGCTCTGCAAGGAAAGAGGCATCTCTGCTGGCTACCTGCCCATGCTCACCAGGTAAGAGGATGAGGGCTACACACTGACCACTCAACCTCTCCACCAACCTTTTCACCACCTCTGGGCAGCTCTGCAAAGCTGCACAATGCTTCCTTGGAAGGTGCCACGAGAGGCAAAGCGAGCAGGGTCTTTAGTTATGGTTCTAGTTATTTCAGCTAATTTAATTTGAACTCTTTGGAGATGCACAGCTTTTTATTTAGGCTGTGTATGGATTGACATATTAGCTTTCCATGTGGAGAGTTATGGATGAGCTGAGACAGCTTCTTGCTCAGGATGTACTCTGAGAGCTCCAAGGGAGCAGTGGACAAGATGTAAGGGCACACAAAGGCATGGATTTATGGATGGACACTTGTTTATTGGTGATTTGGATGTGGCACCAATAGCCAGTAGATGATGGTGGCACCACTGGACCAGCTCAAAGACCTCCTGCTGTGCCCATGGCTACCCAGGACCCTCCTGGGAAAACCAAACTGCAGAGGGGAGGCAAAAGGGGCAGAAAACCTCCATGACGTGTCCCAGCACTTTTACTGGGAACTGCTGGACTCAGTCACCAGCTGTTCTCATCCAAGTAATCTCTGCAACCGCATTGCTTTGTCCACCCAGTGCCATGGAGAAGAGGAGGAGGAGAAGGAAAACATTCCCACCACCCTAGCCCCACATCAAAGAGCTCATGAAAGAAGAAGAAAAGGAGATGGATTCAAAAATCACCACCAGAGTTTTCCTCTCAAGACCAGGAGGGAGGGAGGGAGGGTGGTGGGGTGGGACATGTATGGTGAACATCCTGCAGCTCCCAGGGCTGTGATGGTGATGGGCTGCCAAGGGGAGAGGCAGGTGTTCTTACAAATGCTTTATAATGTATAAACCCATCAGAAATCACCGTGTTAGTTCCTTTGTTCCCCTCACTCCTGAAGCCACGAGATCACCATTGGAGGCAGGGGAGACCGACAATCCTGCAGGTTTACATTATAAAGAACCTCCATCCACAACACAAGCCACCTGGTATCTACCCATCTACAGCTACAAGGGTGAGCAGGTGACATCAGCGCTTACTTCAAACGTATATGGAGATGCCAAGGCCTTCTCCATAGGAAGGGGTTAAGTGCCACGGCTGATGGGGGTGCTTACCCTCAAGAATTCAGCTGCCCCATGACCAGAGGGAATGTCCTTCCCTCAGAAAGATGGGTAGAAGTAGGCAGGTGGCAAGCAGGGCTGGAAGGGGTACAGCAGCTTCCCCACATGCTTGGTGTTGGATCCTACCAGCTCCAGGGGCCACCCCAGGAACTGTGCTACTTTTGTGGGGTCGGGGCAAGGGGACAGTAGACACCAATTACTGTACTGTTAGCAGCAGTGAGCACACCCACTCAGCCAGTAGCAGGCTGAGCCATCAACCTATGCTCCTTCAGCCATCAAAAATCTTGATGGAAGTTGCCTTGGAAGGAGAAGGCTCCTTTGTCCTCCTAAAACCTATGAAACCACTCAGTGCATCTTCAGGCTGCTGATGCCCTTGAGCCCTGCCAGACAAACTCTGAGAGGCTGCCCTGGCAGAGAAGGGATCAGCCAGATCCTGAAGATGCTTGATCCACCCCCATGGTGGTCTCCCAGGGGCTTAGAGCTTTGTCCCCAGGCAGCAAACTTGCCTCATGCCCCTTTCCCATGCTGGGGTCTGCGGTCAGTCCCTGGTCCTGCTCAGGGACGGGTTCATCCCTGTGCTGAGCAAGCTGAATTCTCCCATGCTCTTCCCAAGGAGAGAGCAGGGGCTGAAAGCACCAGGCAACAAATGTGGTGAGGAGGGTGAGGAAGGCAAAAGCAACGAGCCAGGGAGGGTGCAACAAGTAGGTGAGAAAAAGGAGAAGGAGCTGCCACCCAGACTAGGGTGAGATGGGAGGGATGGATTACAGTCTGTAATCCATCAAATGACCTCAGGGCTCGGACCCAGTCACCCCGAGAGCCTCGCACGGTACCTGAGCTGTGGACAAGGACAAGGCTCCAGTCTGCGTGGCTGCCAGGCCCTCCCCTCTCACCAGCACTAACGCCACCGCCGCCAGTGTCAGAGGCACAAAGAGAGAACAATAGCGTAACAAAGGAGTGTGAGCCTCTCCTCTCTTCTCCTCTCCCTCCTCGGGCACCGGGACAGCACTACAGCCCTAGAGACCAGGGGCTGCCCATTGCCTCCAAGCATCACCTTGGCACTGCATATCCCCTCCTTGTGCTCACACTGCACCACCTGCCTCAAGTGGCAGCACCGAGGAGGGCACAGCAACATGAAGCTCATCCCTGGGTGCTCCTGCCCTCCACGGCACGGGCACCACAGACATCCCTGTACCTGCAGGTGCCATAAGCTCTGTACCAGAGCCCAATCACAAGGCAATGCTCAACGGGGACACACTGCAGGGCAAGCACACAGCACCCTGCCCTTGTCCTGTTGCTGCAGAGGATGCTGGCACAAACCCCAGCAGTCACATCCCATTCCTTGCAACTCTCCCCCTCACAGCAGAGGAAAAGTCATCATCCAGGGGTACCATTTCCAGCACAGACACATTCAGAGGGCAGCTCCACATGGCACGGCAGGCTGCTGCTTTTGTTGTCTCTGTGCACCCCAAGATGCACAGCAGGTGTCTAACTCCAGCTCTACCACCCTTAACACACCTCTAAACAGCCCCTTCTGCTCTGTTTCAAATCCACTTTCACCACCAACCTCTCCCTAGCACCTCCAGCTTGCCTTGACTTGCTCCCTGCCTGCTTGCTCACCAGCATTTGACAAACAAGGAGAAACACATCTCTGGAGCAGCCACACACCGCTGCCAGGAGCCATCCCAGAAGCAGAGCAGAAGGGTGCAGAGAAATAAAAACATTAAAATCAGAGTCTAGTAGCCATTACACACAGTTGCATCCTCCTCCCACCCCAGCCAAGGGAAGGCAGAGAGCTGACAAGGTTGACAACCACTTACGCCAAGGCAAAAGCCACCAGTGCTCCCACCACCACGATGAAATCCAGGATGTTCCAGAGGTCTCGGAAGTAGGAGCCATCCTGCAGGATCAAGCCCTGATCAATCATCTGGAGGGGAGAAACAGTGAGAGAAACAGGAAGGGAATGAGCAGCTTGGACATCAAGTGGAATCAGCCACCAGCACGACAAGATGGGGAAACAGGGATGCTGCTGGGGAGCAGCAAATCCATTCCCTGTGTTCTGGCTATAGGTCAAGGAGCATCGTATCTTGTGGAAGCTTGGAGGCTGACAAAAGCAGTACTGAGCACTCTTGACTGCCACTGCTGAGAACCAGACTTTAAGGTCTCCACCATCCAAATTTAGGACCAGAACTGAAACACTGAGCTATTTCCCATCCACTGCAAGAATGCTGTGGGACTCAGCACACACAGCCTGCAGTGGATCTTACCTTGATAACCATCTCGAAGGTGAAGACGCCAGTGAAGACATAGTCAAAATATCTCAGGACCTGCAGAGAGAGGGCACAGGTGCTCTGCAGCCACTTCTGAGGAAACAGACCCACTTGTGCCCACCCAGACCCTGCTATCAGCCCACACTGGGCCTCACCTGGCTCAAGTGCAGACAGAGTTGGTTTGTTTTCCCCAAACCCAGCCTATTCTCTAAGAGTTAGGACAGCCATAAACCCAGCCTGCCTAGGCAGGAGGGAATCATTTCCTGTGCATGGCACAAGTGGCTTGGAAATCATGCTGAGAGCCAGAATTGTGCTTCCTCGTAGCAGTGCCTGTGCAAACCAGCATCTCCCCAGTTTAAGCTACTTTACTGCTAACAAGGTGTTGTGGTCTGCTACCAGGCTCTAAACCCCATGTGTGGGAAGCTGAGTGTGATTTCCAGGGTTTATAAAGGAAATTGATGGGGAAGAAGTCAGACCCCACAGCATGGTGCAGGTGCTGCCGCTGCCTGCCCTGCTCTGTGTCCCACATGTGCCCCACCACAGAAGCTAAAATCCTACAGGACCTCTGCCTGCACTGCCTGTGGGATGGGGGAGTGGGAGAGGGTTGCAATCACTTTGTTGCGGTCAGAGTTGGTGAGGACAGGATCCTCTGCTGCGAGGGCAATGCTGCTGGCGGCGATCACCAGGAGGATGCACATCTCGAAGTAGCGCAGGTTCACGATGTAGTGACAAGCCCTCCGCACCCTGTGGGGACACAGCCCACACCCCGACCTGTGAGCCCCTGCCAGGCCCCAGCCACGGCCCACGTGCAAAACCCACCCCACAACACTGCCTTCCAGGGAGGAAAGATGGGCAGCAAAGTCTGAGGAGCAAAAGAAAGGAGCCCAAGGGGTGTTTGGGCTTGCTGAGCCCTTTGACTTGGCTGTCCCATCCCCCCAGACATCCCCAGGCAGGCAGGGAGAGTCCCTGAGAAATTGGGGTGCTTATTCTTCCAGGCTGTTGCAATTGGGAAAGAGCTACAGGTGACCAGAAAACTACAGGTAAGTATAACAAGCAACGATTAAAAATCCCAACTAGCATGGCTGGCACAGAGAGAGCACTGTGGGGCTTGGGGAACACCATGACTGTCTGTTTGGAGGTGTGGGGCTTGGGGAACACCATGACTGGTTATCCAGTCTGTTTGGAAGATATTCAGACCCATTCCCACAGGGATCCCCTGGTTCTTGATGATATCTAGGGGTCCTTCCCTTGCAGCCCTCCCCAGCCTCAGGCTCCTACAGTCCAAAAAATGTCTCACGGGTTGGTGGTGCTGAAGATGAACATGGAGCTGTGTGGCACCATTGCTTTGCCCGTCTCGCTTTTCTCCTTCTTCCGCTTCTTCTTCTCCATCTCCTCCTCATCCTCTTTGGTCTCAGCCTCCTTTAAGGGGCTGGCTTCACCGTCTGTCTTGTTGCTAACTGCAGGAAAGCGAGAGCCTTTGCCTGGCCTTGCACCCAGACAGCACTCTGGGGTGTCCCTGCCACCCAGGCACATGCAACCCCTCCAATTCCTGCTTTGAATCCCTGAGCTGTTACAGGGAGAGGGACCAGATGGGAAGAAAAGACATGAGCTACTGGGAGGAAGCAGATGAAATGGGGTTTAACAAGGCCAGTCTTCACCGTGCTGTTTAATGAATAACACTGTTTAAAGCAGCTCACCTTGACAGCGAGGATGCTGTTAAGGGGTTTGAGCAGCAGCAAGCTGGAGGAGGCTGCAGATGTGTCAAGAAAAACAGGGAATGCAAGTGTTTTGCCCAGGTGGAGAAGGGGAAAGGAGGGATCAGTTTAAAGAGTGGATGGGAAAGAAGCAAGAAAGAGACACAGACCCCATGGGATGGTGGCACATCAGTATTGTGTTTGGATTTCCCTGCAAAACTGGAGTGCTGGAGGGAGGTGCTGCGAGGAGCAGCAAGGAAATCACTCCCCAGTTGATGGGTGTGGATAGGAAAAGCCATGCAAGTGGCTTTCCATCCCCACAGGGTCCCCGAGGAGTGGGAGAGGGGCTCAGGAAAGAGAGACGGGTCCTCACTCTGTACCACAGCGGAGTCGTGGACATCGATCATGATGGTGGTGCTCTCCGTGGCCTTCTCGGTGTTGGGGGTCATGGAGGAGAGGTCAGGCTCACTCCGGCTGACAGTGCGACTGGCCTCCAGCAGAGCTTGCTCACTGGTGTCTGGGCTGCTGCAGTCCTGCTCTGTCAGGTTCCCTGTCTTCCCCTGGGAGGGCTCAGGTGCTGTGTGGGGGAGACTCCCCTTCCTGGCAGTCCCAAGCAGATCGGCATCGCCAGCAGGGACCCCATTTGTCCTGCAGGAGGAATGTGGGATAAAATGAGGTGCAAGAATATAAGGGGAGAGGACGAGAAGCTGTGGGAATGGCAAGATGCCCTCCCCAGGCACCAACCTGATGGAGTCCCCGCTCGCCTCCGGCTCCCCCTGAATCAGCGCCTCTGATGCAGCCATGTCCCCACGTCGGTCCCCATCCTGTGCCCCCTCCGCGGTGCTGGCCTCCTCCAGACCCGTCTCCTGGCTGGCTGAGCGGCTCCCCAGAATGCCAGCAGTCTCCTTCCCCTCCATCCGGGCTCT